ACCTTACCTGTTACTCCTGCCTGTTGCTCCAACTTTTGTAAGAACCTTTTATGGGGCATTAATACCGAGCCTAATACAAACCCGCCTAGGCATATTACACGCTATCTTACCTCTAATATAGTACATATATGTGCTATACTAAGTCTAGAAATATCTAAGTTTGGTTTTAGCTTTTTTTCTGGGATTCTATAAACGAGTTTTTTTGGCTCTAAGAGAACATATTGTTACTTGTTGACCAGACCACACACTAGAAGTTGAAGGGACGACGACGTTTCGGTCCGTCCTGGACCATTCTCAAGTCGACTTGAGAATGGTCCAGGACGGACCGAAACGTGGTCGTCCCTTCACCTTCTAGTGTGTGGTCTGGTCAACATACTTCAGCCACGTTATTGTGACTCATCGCCTGCATATTGTTACTTGTACCAAACAGCTGGTGCAAGAACTGTTATTGTAGGAGGACGGGCTGGTGGCTGGAATCCAAGCACCCAGGAGGACTCACCTCCATTTACAAATAGTGTTGTGGTGTGTTATTTAGAGAGGCTCCGAGACTGGGAGGAGCCTGTCAGTGTGGGCTGTTTATGTGTGGCAAACAGGCCAGGAACGGAACACATTTCTGGCTGGAACCTTTGAGATTGTCTGCGGCGGGCTCCCACACCTTATATATGTGCTCGGCCCGCAGGTGTGTGTCTCTCTTCCTCTTGTTGACCACACCTGGCATGGTGCGGCATATATACAATTGTTCCGCATATATACTATATCACTACTCGATATATTGTATTTTAATGTGACAGTTTATTTTTGTATGTATATGGTATAATTATTATTTTTATTGTAAATTATATTTCCAAAATTCTGGAGGTATACTTGGAGAAGGTTTTGTCCACCAGGCTGTTGCTTGGAGCGGCCAGCATGAGGCCCACAGATCCACCACAGCCTGGTTGGTCCGGCTCTTCTTACAAGAACTAATCTAAGTGCCAATCTTATTTGCATGCACCTCTACCACACACATCAACCACACCTCAGAGACTCACCACACACCAGAACCACACCTCAGAGACTCACCACACACCTGAACCACACCTCAGAGACTCACCACACACCAGAACCACACCTCAGAGACTCACCACACACCTGAACCACACCTCAGAGACTCACCACACACCTGAACCACACCTCAGAGACTCACCACACACATCAACCACACACATCAACCACACCTCAGAGACTCACCACACACATCAACCACACCTCAGAGACTCACCACACACATCAACCACACCTCAGAGACTCACCACACACCTGAACCACACCTCAGAGACTCACCACACCCATGAACCACACCTCAGAGACTCACCACACCCATGAACCACACCTCAGAGACTCACCACACACATCAACCACACCTCAGAGACTCACCACACACATTAGCTACACCTCAGAGACTCACCACACCCATGAACCACACCTCAGAGACTCACCACACACATGAGCTACACCTCAGAGACTCACCACACCCATGAACCACACCTCAGAGACTCACAACACACATGAGCTACACCTCAGAGACTCACCACACACATTAGCTACACCTCAGAGACTCACCACACCCATGAACCACACCTCAGAGACTCACCACACACATGAGCTACACCTCAGAGACTCACCACACCCATGAACCACACCTCAAGAGACTCACCACACCCATGAACCACACCTCAGAGACTCACCACACACCTGAACCACATCTCAGAGACTCACCACACACCTGAACCACACCTCAGAGATTCACCACACACATGAGCTACACCTCGGAGACTCACCACACACATGAACTACACCTCAGAGACTCACCACACCCATGAACTACACCTCAAGAGACTCACCACACCACCACAGTGCACCAAGTCTCGACACTGAGTGGCAGGCATGGGTGTAACTATTCCTTCTTTATCTGCACATATCCGTGAATTTGCACATTTCTGATATACTAACATGTCTTAAAACAAACTTAAGAGAAAAGTGTTAGAGGTGTTATGTGTATGTAAGAGGTGAAGGAGGACGGGTGTTGAGCTGAATAGCGCGCAAACGAGCGAAAAGTGACGTTATTTTTAAGAGGATAGGTTGGTTAAGCACCTTGGTTAAGTACCCCCGAGGAGTAGGATAAGCTGGGGTTTACCAGCCCTCGGGGAGCCCTTGTCCTGCACACGGCCACACCCCGTCTTATACACGCTGTCACCCTGGCACTCAAGCGTGCACCGAGGCACTTTATGGCGGCAGTGTTGTGAGAAATCTGCGTGATTAAAGCAGTGGAGAGGTGTGAGTTACTCAATAATTCTTGTAAGGCATAGGGAAGACTGAGGTGGTACAAGACAATGTACTACACGAATACCTGGGGCCAGATTCACGAAAGCACTTACGAACCTGACATCTTTTCTCAATCTTTGGCGGCTTTGTTTCCAATTATTAAACAGTTAATGAGCTCCGAAGTACCTTGAGGCTGTTTATAACAATAACAACAGTTGATTGGCAAGTTTTCATGCTTGTAAACTGTTTAATAAATGTAACCAAAGCCGTCAAAGATCGAGGAAAGATGGACACGTTCGTAAGTGCTTGTGTAACTGCTTTCGTGAATCTGGCCCCTGGCGTCCACATCACTAAGACATCACAGAGAGTCGTGTGAAGCAGCAGACAGCTTCAATGACAGCCTCGATAGTGAGTGGCAGCAATGAGCGTAGCCCACTATGCTACTAGGGTAATATACCGGTGATGAACTCGTCTCAAGACAACTATAAGCTTTTACAGTGTTACAGGTGGCACTCTCTCCAGGTGTCGAGGCAGAGGAGGCCGTGACTGACGACACACGAGCCGACACATGACACATGAGCCGTCACTGACGACACATGAGCGTCAGCAAGGCGGACAGCCCGACTGCTTTCGTACCTCTCACTGTATTTCCCACTTCTATACTTCCCTTCACCTATGCCTCTCCTTCCTCTTTACTCCCCCGCCCCCCTCAAAAAAAAAAAATGAGCCGTAACACCTATGAACAACTGAACACGTGGATCCCTCTTCGCTACAACAGTAACATAACTGACAACTTTCTCATGAAGAACTCTCCCGACACCAGCCACAAAACCTTTTCACACTAATACTGTTTATGCTTTTACATGCCCACCTGAGGACCGTCGGCCTCGACACTATGAAAACAGGCTTTTTTGAGCGGAAGAGATATTGATGCGCGGGGCCTAAGCCTCTGGCTGGCCGGCTGTTACCGTAGCTGGCTGACAACATCTCTCTCAAGAGACCTCATTATACACACGCAACAACACTCCTTTACATATGACATTCATGGTACACAACCAGACCAACGAGGAAGATCTTGACCAGCAAACCCAAATAATTAAGAGTACAGGAATAATACGAGAGTACACCTAGCAGAAGCACTTCACATCAAACACACACGTATTCAGTTATCAACAGTCAGTATATGGTATTCCTACAGCAAGTTGATGCCCGTCCCAACCTTTACTTCCAATGTTGTCTCCACCTCCCCCCCCCCCCACCCCCAGTGTTACCAGCACACAATTTTATATAAAGATATATAATTGTATTTCTAGACAAAACAACTCACCAAATTATACAAAAAGGAAGATTATATTTATATCAGACTAATTTACCCCGACAAAAATACCATTATTTAATGCTAATAAATTTGTATAGTTTAATATGAATTATCATAATTGAATATAATTTATACGGGGATTACAGCCCAGTATCGCGACCTGACACTCCGTAACAAATGTAATGGTTTTGATCAAGTTGAAACATTCCAATTTGGTGATCATAATACGGCACTATTACGGTGTTTTTAATGAGACGAAAATACCGTAATACAGACGAATTTCTCAAGTGCATTACAAAGACGATGGTTTAAGTGCAAGGACAGGCTGTGAGGGATGTGCTGTGGTGTGGGGGGGGGGAATGTTGGCCCACGGGTGCTGTGGTGTGGGGGAGAGAATGTTGGCCCACGGGTGCTGTGGTGTGGAGGGAGAGAATGTTGGCCCACGGGTGCTGTGGTGTGGGGGAGAGAATGTTGGCCCACGGGTGCTGTGGTGTGGAGGGAGAGAATGTTGGCCCACGGGTGCTGTGGTGTGGGGGAGAGAATGTTGGCCCACGGGTGCTGTGGTGTGGAGGGAGAGAATGTTGGCCCACGGGTGCTGTGGTGTGGGGGAGAGAATGTTGGCCCACGGGTGCTGTGGTGTGGAGGGAGAGAATGTTGGCCCACGGGTGCTGTGGTGTGGGGGAGAGAATGTTGGCCCACGGGTGCTGTGGTGTGGGGGAGAGAATGTTGGCCCACGGGTGCTGTGGTGTGGAGGGAGAGAATGTTGGCCCACGGGTGCTGTGGTGTGGGGGAGAGAATGTTGGCCCACGGGTGCTGTGGTGTGGAGGGAGAGAATGTTGGCCCACGGGTGCTGTGGTGTGGGGGAGAGAATGTTGGCCCACGGGTGCTGTGGTGTGGGGGAGAGAATGTTGGCCCACGGGTGCTGTGGTGTGGAGGGAGAGAATGTCGCCCTACACATGCTGTGGTGTGGGGGGTAGAATGTCGCCCTACACATGCTGTGGTTATTAAGATAGTCACACACAGCCACAGCTTCCCTGTGTGTACTCGCCTACATGTGCTGCCTGGTCCAATTCCAGCTGCTGTTGACTGCCTTAACCACTGTGTGATGGAGTATTACAATAGTCCCTTAAACTGATGCTGGTTATAGCCATGATTGAAGTGCCTGGAGGAGACTGCCTCAACCACCTCCACACTTCCTTCACTCCATCTGTTAACTACTCACGTCCTCCTCAACTGCTCTCTTAACCCAACCCAACAACCCAAACCCATCGTAGTTAATAGTTTCCTCTGGTGTCCTCTCGCGTGTCATAACACATGTGGGATATCAGCTGACATGTGTATATGAATGACTAAGTGCATATAAATAGGTGCTGCGAGTATGGGGCTAATAGACCCCTGCTCGTATGGACTAATAGACCCCTGCACGTATGGGCTAATAGACCCCTGCTCGTATGGACTAATAGACCCCTGCACGTATGGGCTAATAGACCCCTGCTCGTATGGACTAATAGACCCCAGCACGTATGGGCTAATAGACCGCAGCACGTATGGGCTAATAGACCCCAGCATGTATGGGCTAATAGACCGCAGCACGTATGGGCTAATAGACCCCAGCACGTATGGGCTAATAGACCGCAGCACGTATGGGCTAATAGACCCCAGCACGTATGGGCTAATAGACCGCAGCACGTATGGGCTAATAGACCCCAGCACGTATGGGCTAATAGGCCCTAGTAATCTTATATTCTAATATTAATGCTAATATTTCGTTTCCGTCCATTTTTGTTGGTGCCTCTAAGAATCTTTTATGTTATGATCATGGCTCCTCTACCCTCCTCTTCGTATGCAACGTGGCAAGGTTCGTTTAGTTCGTCGACGTGGCTCAGTGGTAAGCGTTCAGGCATCACATAGCAAACCTAAGGGAACATGTCTAATTTTGCTTCACAGTTTTCAAGGAAAGGATTTCGCGCCGGGGCTGCATATTATAGTGCTGGTCTGACATAGGTAGTGTCATTTGAGGGTGCTTAGTCAGGAGCTAGCAGGAACTAAAGCAATAGTCAACCGAAAGTTTGACTTTAAAGAAAAGAGTATCTAGGTGTAGCAGTGGCCGTCTGGACGAGGCCGTCTGGCCCCCGCAAAGTAGTGCGGGGGCCGTCTGGACTACTTTAGCCAGTCACAGCGACCTCTCCTTCAGGAGAACACACACCTGCTGTGTGCCAGGTGTAGCCCGGAGCGACACAAACCTCCCAGGACCAGGTCATACCAGGACAGTCTTACCCCGAGCCCAAGGACTGGAGCCCGACATAACACACACATTGGAGTATGACCTCCACCCGTCTCTCGCGGCCAATATTCAGCTCCAACTCAGCCTCCGTGTAATATAACTGCGACTAGGGAGCCGGTCGGCCGAGCGGACACCACACTGGACTTGTGATCCTGTGGTCCTGGGTTCGATCCCAGGCGCCGGCGGGAAACAATGGGCAGAGTTTCTTTCACCCTATGCCCCTGTTGCCTAGCAGTAAAATAGGTACCTGGGTGTTAGTCAGCTGTCACGGGCTGCTTCCTGGGGGTGAAGGCCTGGTCGAGGACCGGGCCGCGGGGACACTAAAGCCCCGAAATCATCTCAAGATAACCTCAAGATAACTAGTAATGCCATGAAGTCCCGTGGCGCAGTGGTAAGACACTCGCCCCGCACTTTGCGAGCGCTTTGGCCTGGGTTCCTATCCTGGCCGGGGAGGATTGACCGGGTGCTAATCCTTAACTGTTGCCTCTGTTCACCCAGCAGTAAATGGGTACCTGGTTGTTAAACGATTGGGCAGGTCGTCTTCCGGGGAACACAGGATTAAGGACCTGCCCGAAACGCTGCGTGCTAGTGGCTGTACAAGAATGTAAATAACTCTTGTATGAATATATATATATATTGAAGAGCATAAGGAACACTAGAGTCTTCCGGCAACACAACATTTACAAATCTTAAATTTGTCATTCAGCTCAAATTTGAAGAATCAGAAACACAGAAAGTCACACAAAATCCTATTGTGCTCTAATTATCAAGAGTCATTAATAACTTATCTCAATTATATCATTGGATAAAGTGTAATTAACCAATCATCAATTATATCATTGGATAAAGTGTAATTAACCAATCATCAATTATATCATTGTGTAGTTACACTTTATCGCATCATCTAACAATTAATTATCTTAATGACTAGTGAAACACAATTCTATAATCTATCAATTTAAGATGTCTCTCTTAGAGGCTTAATTGACTAACACGAATCTCTCACAATACTGGTCTCCCTCACTAGGGTGTGTGAGGGAGCCCTCACAGTACTAGTCTCCCTCACTAGGGTGTGTGAGGGAGCCCTCACAATACTGGTCTCCCTCACTAGGGTGTGTGAGGGAGCCCTCACAGTACTAGTCTCCCTCACTAGGGTGTGTGAGGGAGCCCTCACAGTACTAGTCTCCCTCACTAGGGTGTGTGAGGGAGCCCTCACAGTACTAGTCTCCCTCACTAGGGTGTGTGAGGGAGCCCTCACAATACTGGTCTCCCTCACTAGGGTGTGTGAGGGAGCCCTCACAATACTGGTCTCCCTCACTAGGGTGTGTGAGGGAGCCCTCACAATACTGGTCTCCCTCACTAGGGTGTGTGAGGGAGCCCTCACAATACTGGTCTCCCTCACTAGGGTGTGTGAGGGAGCCCTCACAATACTGGTCTCCCTCACTAGGGTGTGTGAGGGAGCCCTCACAATACTGGTCTCCCTCACTAGGGTGTGTGAGGGAGCCCTCACAATACTGGTCTCCCTCACTAGGGTGTGTGAGGGAGCCCTCACAATACTGGTCTCCCTCACTAGGGTGTGTGAGGGAGCCCTCACAATACTGGTCTCCCTCACTAGGGTGTGTGAGGGAGCCCTCACAATACTGGTCTCCCTCACTAGGGTGTGTGAGGGAGCCCTCACAGTACTAGTCTCCCTCACTAGGGTGTGTGAGGGAGCCTTCACAATACTGGTCTCCCTCACTAGGGTGTGTGAGGGAGCCCTCACAATACTAGTCTCCCTCACTAGGGTGTGTGAGGGAGCCCTCACAATACTGGTCTCCCTCACTAGGGTGTGTGAGGGAGCCCTCACAATACTGGTCTCCCTCACTAGGGTGTGTGAGGGAGATTGTCTTCCAGGTGAGGTGATGACGCCACGAGTATAACTATACTCATCAATATGCACTACTCACACTCACCATTGCTCATAAACCTGTCCTCTAACCTAATAAGTAGGTTAATCCTCTGCTCTAACCGGAGAGGATTAAAGGATTCGACTAATCCGTAAAAAAAATCAACGTAATGACATGAATCCAAGCAGCTTAATATTAACATTTTCTATGCCTCGGTCTCGAGAGGTTAGGTGGGTTGCTTGGGTTAGTGTTTGTGATTAAAGCAAAAACTGTTGTTAATTTAATGGGGTGACAAATTGAGACGACGAGCTGGGTCATTTACGGCAGGTTTTGCCTAATATTTGCGATGATGGTTGCACAATGTTGCAGACTTGCAATGATGAATCATCCAGTAGTGCAGTGATGAATCAACCAGCAATTTGGAAGTCGCTGAATGTCGCCGTATGACTCGGTAATCAACAGTGTTGAGCTGCAGTGTTGGTCAGCTTCCTATACTCGTGCACGACTGCAACATCGCCTTAGGCTAACCCTACTCTAGTGTCTCGAGTCTAAACTCCAGGGGCCAGATTCACGAAAGCACTTACGCAAGCACTTACGAACCTGTACATCTTTTCTCAATCTTTGACGGCTTTGTTTCCAATTATTAAACAGTTTATGGGCTCCGAAGCACCAGGAGGCTGTTTATAACAATAACAACAGCTGAATGGCAAGTTTTCATGCTTGTAAACTGTTTAATAAATGTAACTAAAGCCATCAAAGATTGAGGAAAGATGTACACGTTCGTAAGTGCTTGCGTAAGTACTTTCGTGAATCTGACCCCAGGCTAAGAACTGAGAGAACTGGATAAGCACCTCCAAGGGATACCTGATCAACCAGGCTGTGATTCATACGTCAAACTGCGAGCAGCCGCGTCCAACAGCCTGGTTGACCAGTCCAGCAACCAGGAGGCCTGGTCGACGACCGGGCCGCGGGGACGCTAAGCCCCGGAAATACTCCAGGGTAAGATGCCTAGCACAATGATAACCATTTGTTGACTTCCTCTTCATGATAACAAGTGTGTTGGTCTGTGTTGGGATTAAGGTCTAACAACCTGTGGGAGGTTATATTGAGGCCACCACACTACTGACCAACCAGCAAGTATATACTGGTCCTGAACAACGCATATACACTCCAAGAAGCAGGGTATACCTCTCGGTGTATGACCAGGTCTCGTAGTCCTCTTCTAGCTTCTCTTACGAAGTACAATCCTCAGTGAGCCAAACTTCGAGGGCCGGCAAGAGTTGGGTCGGGCGCCGCGAAGTGGTGGACACCGCGGAGCCAGGCTACGGGGTCTTCCCGCTAAAGCTGACGTCAGCTTTAGTAACCAGAGGGGCACTCGACTCCCACTCTGGAGGCGCTCCTGCCACGTGATTGGTCAACTCTCGCCTTGTCCCACACTCTACCAGTTAACGATCGCCATGAACACACCTTTCTCAACGTGTCACGACGATGTGTCAGCATTCCATACACATACCGTAGCCTACCTTGCGGTCACCTTGCGATGATTTCGGGGCTCAACGTCCCAGCGACCCGGTCCCCGACCAGGCCTCCTGGTTGCTGGACTGGTCAACCAGGCTGTTGGACGCGGCTGCTCGCAGCCTGACGTATGAGTCACAGCCTGGTTGATCAGGTATCCCTTGGAGGTGCTTATCCAGTTCTCTCTTGAACACTGTGAGGGGTCGGCCAGTTATGCCCCTTATGTGTAGTGGAAGCGTGTTGAACAGTCTCGGGCCTCTGATGTTGATAGTTCTCTCTCAGAGTACTTGTTGCATCTTTGCTCTTCAACGGGGGTATTCTGCACATCCTGCCATGCCTTCTGGTCTCATGTGGTGTTATTTCTGTGTGTAGGTTTGGGACCAGCCCCTCTAATATTTTCCATGTGTAAATTATTATGTATCTCTCCCGCCTGCGCTCAAGAGAATACAGATTTAGGCATTTTAGTCGGTCCCAATAGTTTAGATGTTTTACTGAGTGGATTCTAGCAGTAAAGGATCTCTGCACGCTCTCCAGGTCAGCAATTTCTCCAGCTTTGAAAGAGGCTGTCATTGTGCAGCAGTACTCCACTCTAGAGAGCACTAGCGTCTTGAAATCATATCATATCAATAAATCATATCAATAACCAAAGGCGTCTTGTAAATCATGTCAATAACTAAAGGCGTCTTGTAAATCATGTCAATAACTAAAGGCGTCTTGTAAATCATGTCAATAACTAAAGGCGTCTTGTAAATCATGTCAATAACTAAAGGCGTCTTGTAAATCATGTCAATAACTAAAGGCGTCTTGTAAATCATGTCAATAACCAAAGGCGTCTTGTAAATCATATCAATAACCAAAGGCGTCTTGTAAATCATGTCAATAACCAAAGGCGTCTTGTAAATCATGTCAATAACCAAAGGCGTCTTGTAAATCATATAAAAAACCAAAGGCGTCTTGTAAATCATGTCAATAACCAAAGGCGTCTTGTAAATCATGTCAATAACCAAAGGCATCTTGTAAATCATGTCACTAACCAAAGGCGTCTTGTAAATCATATCAATAACC